GATCTTCTGGAAACACAGAACATATCAAAAAAGCACTTGGTATCATCTCTTTTCAAGTAATCGTAACTTAATTTAAGACAATTGAAAGCATCTCCAAGGCCTTCATCCACATCCACAGGTTTTGAATCTCTCAAACTTGTAATGCTACCTTCCACTCATCAACTCCATTTGATTTTCCTTTAAGGAGGTTCCGACAGTGACACAGGCAATGGGCAGTCCTTTACATTCCTTACAAACCTCCCGTTGCAGTTGCATATTGTTCGGCAAGTTGGAAGATAACACAGCATCTATGCCTGCATGCTTTCGGAATAAACTCCAAGCTTCCTCTTCAGATAAGAGATCTAGGGGAATCCTCTTTAGACAGTCCATTAAACTGCACACGTCGTGACGACGAGTGGTAAGAAGCACCTTACAACCCTTGAGATTTCCATCAACAGGAATCCCTATATCCTCAAGGTTGAGCTTTGTCCAAACATCATCCAAAATTATGAGAATACGTTCGCCACTTTGTAATCTCACAGATATCCGCCTTGCTTTCCCTGCTTCACTTTTTTCATCCAATTTCAGGCCCAACAAGTCAGCAATTTCGTCTTGAATTTTCATGACATTTGGAGACTGGGACACAGTGGTAAATACAACATGATCAAATAGCTTTAATTCTTTTGCTTTCTTACCCACTTCTTTCACCAGTGTTGTTTTCCCGGAGCCTCCCATCCCATATAAACCAATTATATAACTACTATCATCTTTTAGTGCTTCCAAAAGTTGATCTGCAGCCAATCTTGTAGACTTAAAATACTCAAAGTTTCCAGAAGAGAAATGCTCTATATCTGGAATCGGGACAGGGAAGGAAAATGGTTCAAAGTGACATTTTTTGTTCAGCTGCATCATAGCTTCTGTTTTCTTTTCCATTTGCTTGCACAGAATGTATCTGCTCCTGGTAGGAAACTTCCCTCGCAAACAACTGCTGCTGTGGAGCATTATTTCTTGTTCCAACTGCTCCACCTCTTTTATGAGTTCCATCACGTCATTCAGCCAACTTGAAACTACATAATTGACGTTTTCTGCTTTATGATTAGCTTCTTCAGCTCTTTTCTGTACATGATCATGAGTTGAAGTCAGGGCCTTCTTCTCAGTCTCAAGTTTCTTCATGATTTTGTTGACACGAAACAAATACTGTCCTTGACGTATGGTTAAATTCACCAGATGTTCTGAGACTTTAGCAGCAATGGAAACAATGATCTCTGTCATCTTAACTCAGTGAACCTGACAAAGGCATCAATTTTAACTGTTATATCCAGAATCCACAAATATGACATGCACATTTCCCAGAATTTTTTACGTGGTGAACTGAGGTTAAAAGCTTAGAACACAAATTCTTAACGTATATATTGTGCAAGGGTAACTGAAACCATTAGAAAACTAATCAAGGTTCACAAACTGATACTGATAACATAGCACCATCAAAAGTTTGAATTAATAAACTTTTTGCTTTTCACTAAGTTTAATAATCAAAAAGAGGTTATTAATCAAGAGCCATTCAGTTCTAGAGGAAGAAAAATTCCAGCACCTAAACCGTGTAACTAGACAAATAATCAAGAGTCACAAACTACTATAGCTTTACAATCGTCAATGTCAAAACACAAGAACGCAAAGTAAAAAGCATATTTATACTTACAAAATAAATAAATAACTGACTAAATAAAAAAGATAAGTGGACAAAGAAGATAGAACTTGAGGGAGTGCTACCTAACGGATAAAATTTTGCAGGTTCAAGTCAAAGATGGTGGCGATCCCGGTCTCCTCTTCCTTAGGACCACGTTCTTCTTCAGCTTCAATTGAACGTGGAAAGAATAGACAGAAGTGATTTGGGTGAATTGCGAAGGGAAAGAGTTCAGGTGTGTGATCGAATCAATGGGTCAAATTCAGAGAAATGAAGGAGGATTTACAATAAGCGCTATTTCCTCTGCTTTTCAGTGATGGACGTAAGAACTAAGAAGGAAGCACTTGAGCGGACTTGGCTGACTTGACTCGTACAAAAGTAATTGAAGAATAATAAAGTTGCCTTAAATTTGCATTAAGTTTTTGGGAAAATTACACTCAGGTCCCACAGAGCATAATTAATATCAAAAAGGTCTCTCGAAATCGCAAAATGATTCTGAAGTCCCCAGGGACCTATGTGTAATCAATTCTAATTGTGAAATTACGTAGTTACCCCTGTTAATTTGAACCTATTTACAACCTCAACAGTGACTGTTAACAACCCGAGAAGAGGTGGTTAACAACCTCAACAACGCCCCTGGTATTTCACAGAGTGAGTTGTCATGAGCACTGCCGAGATTGTCAATCACGTCTTCTCGGGTTGTTAACAGCCACTGTTGAGATTGTAAACGAATTGCTGCAATAAAATTAGAACCTATTTACAACATCAACAGTGGCTGTTAACAACCCGAGAAGAGGTGGTTAACAACCTCAATAATGCCCCTGGCATTCCACAGAGTGAGTTGTCATGAGCACTGCCGAGGTTGTCAATCACGTCTTCTCGGGTTATTAACAGCCATTGTTGAGATTATAAACGAATTGTTGCAATAAAATTAACAGGGATAAGTAGGTAATTTCACAATTAGAATTAATTACACACAGGTCCCTGGGGACTTCAGAATCATTTTGTGATTTCATGGGACCTTTTTTATATTAATTGTACTCTGTGGGACCTGAGTGTAATTTTCCCTAAGTTTTTTTGGCGTTAAATGTGCATTAAGTTACTTATATTTATTATATCAAATTTCTTATGACACAAAGCCATGTATCTTGCTAATAAATAAAAAACATGGCCATGTATATTTTGTATGTGAGTTTCTGATTAAACATTATGAAATATTAATATTTAAAAAATACTACCTCTGATACTCAATATAAGACATTATTTGATTTTTATTTTGATCCTAAATATAAGATTTCAATCCACTTTGTTTCTCATATTTATGCATTTTTTTCAAAATAGTCCTTCTAATAGTGATAGTTTTAATCAATACACTTAATTAGTAAGGATATTTTAGGAAAGACAATAACTATTTATTACAAATAATTAATTTAATTTATTTTTTTAATCTCCTCAAATTAGTCAATTAGTTTTTATAATTAGAAGATGAGGTAGTAACATTTATTGTACTGTCACGTTGTCTATCTATAACGAGAGAATTTAAATATTAAAAAAATTGATATAAGTATCCTCCTTTACCAAACAAGCAATTAATTTGTCAACCACAACAAATACAAATGGTTTTGTTAAAAATGTGTTGAGATAGTGTAACACGTCAACAAAGTCATGTCACAAATAAATATAAATAGCTCATATAACGATAATTTTATATGTTAGGAACAGTGGAACACTGTGGGTTTTGGTTACAATATAATCGTATGAATAATAAACATAAGTTTTTATAATAAGAGCTCATTTAACTTTTATTTTAATCCTAAATATAAGATCTCAATCCACTTTGTCTTTTATATTTATCTGTTTTTTTTCTCAAGGTAGTTTTTTTACTAATGATAGTCTTAGTCAATATACTTAATGAATAATGATAATTTTGAGGAAAAAAACAACATCTATTTATTACAAATAACTAATATAATTAATTTTCTTAATCTATTCAAATTAGTCAATTAACTCTTATATTAAAGACAGGAAGAACTACCCAAAAAAAAGACAGGAAGCTGTATATATTAACGTGCATCTTTTCTCCCATCTAGAACGGCAAGTTCCCAAGTTTAGCCTAGCTATTTCTTATAGGTTGATTTGGTACAAAGCATTTAAAATGAAAAATAAAGATTATGATTGAAGTTGAAAACATATACTACCTATCTTTGATTCTTAATATAAGAGGTAGTTGATTAATTTGAGTTAATTAAAAAAATTAGTTAAGTTAGTTATTTATAATAAATGGGTATTATCTTTTCTAAAATATTTTTATTATTTAAGTGTATTAGCTAAACTTATCTTGGGAAGAAATAGATAGATATGAGAGACAAAGTAAATTAAAGTATTATATTTGGGACCAAAATAAAAATCAAACGAACTTTTACATTAAGGACCGGAGGGCGGAGGTAGTACTAAAAGAGCGTTTACTATTAGTTATTGCTTATTACTTGGAATTAGGCAAAGGGAAAACCATATCATGGATACCTCTACTTTCTCTCAATTTTTAATTTGGTACCTATGTGTTTTTTCCTCTTAATTAAACATTTAATTTTATTTTTTTAGCAACATTAGCTCTTATAACTTTGTTCTATTGGCATTTTTAGTCTCTATATAAGGATTAATGATGTTAATTGAGCAAAATTAAATATTTAGTTAAGAACAAAAAAAACATTGGTACCAAATTGAAAATTAAAAAAAAATACAGGTACTTCCAATATCGTTTTCCCTTAGGCAAATTTATATATATGGGATTAGGAAATACAAGGGTAGGAGATGGTATTTTTCATTTTCATTTATATGAGATTGCCTGATTCTACGTAACAAGAAATTTCTTATACTAAATACTCTTTAATTATTTTTTCAATTCCAATCTCAATCTTTACCTCTTATTTTTAATGCTTCGTACCAAACAGGATCATAGAGTAATGTTTTCACTACATTGTGGGTATCACGTTTAATGTTTGACAATATCTCGAAAAGAATTGTCCTTAATAGGAAGATATTTATGCACATAAAAAAAAAAGAGTAATGTTGTACAAAATAAATAATATATTGATATTTAATAATTATTTGTTAGGTTAAGATGAATTCAGTACTTTAAAATATTTTACGAATATAACACTTTGAAATATTTTTTTTATATATTCAGCATCTTAAAATATTTTTCAAGTATGTCTAGCATTTCAAAATATTTTTTGCTATATCCCTTGTCAAAGCAAAGAAGATATTTCAAGATATTGGATACATCTAAAAAATATTTTTAAGATACTTGATGCATTACAAAATAGAAAAAATATTTCAAAATGTTGAATACATCTTAATATAATTTACAAAAATATGTTTTATTTATAAATCAGTTGTTATCAAAATTAATTAAAATATTGTAGCGAATTCTGATACGAAGTTTTGCAAATTTCACGTTCTTGTATTTGTCATTGCGCACATAAAGAATGAAGTACAATACTGCAAACACAAAATTAGGATTTGGAGAAGAGATAGAGCAGTGTCACAACCTGTCATTGAATTTTTAGTTTGGAAGTAATTTATATGCTATTTAAAATGATCTTTTACGCTAAAGACCTGTAGGCAAAAAAGCATATATTATATTAAATGATGATTTTCATAATATTCCTTTCGATTCTAGATATACAAATTAGCTACGATGTCTATTTTAATCATAAATGTAAGATTTCTATTTATTTGTTTTTTTCTATTTATTATTTTTTAAAAATATTTGTATTGATTGTAAAATGAATATTTTTTACCTTTTTAAATTGGGATTTGGGAGAATGACAAATAAAGATCTTGTAAGTAATTTATTGTAAAATGAGACCTCTAACTGAAAATTCAAAATTTTTATCACAAATTTCTATATTTATAATTTATTTTTTTAGCAAAAAATTAATCTTTTTTATTTCAATTATCATTCCTTCTATTAAATTCCAGATTGCAATGTAAATATTAAAGGGAACTATGCTTTTTTTTTTCAAAAATAACACGCATTTTTACACAAAATAAATTTAACTAATTTTTAAAAATATTTTCTAACTAGTTGATAAGCTTTTAATTGACAATATGGAGAAATATTTTTAAAAATATTTTCTAATTAGTTGATAGGCTTTTTAATTGACAATGTGGAGAAGTATTGGCGGAAAATAAAAAGACAATTTGAAGTATAATTCTCCCCCCACACCCACCAAAATTATACTAGTTTTGGTTCTTAACAAGAGAGTTAATTTGACTTTTAATTTGATTTTAAATATAATATCCTATTTATTTTGTCTATTATATTTATTAATTTTTTTAAGATAGTTCTCGAAGTAGCTGTAGATGTTAAATATTTTTTAAAATATCACTTGATTAGTAAGGATATTTCAAAAAAGATAATACTACTTCCGGTCTTTAATACTTCTCCAGTCCTAAATATAAGACTCCTTTTGTAGTCCTCTGATCCTAAATATAAGACTCTTTTTGTAGTGTAGTAATCTAAATATAAGACTCTTTTGTAGTGTAATTTACTACACTACAAAAAGAGTCTTATATTTAAGACCGGAGGAGTATAAGATCCCGTTTGACTTTTATTTTGGTCATAAATATAATATCCTAATTCATTTTATCTCTTATATAAATGCATATTTTCCAAGATAGTTCTTCAATAATGTTAGTTCTAACCAATAAACTTGATTAGTAGAATAGCAGTGATGTTTGAGGAAAAACAATACATATTTATTACAAATAACTAATTTAACTTATTTTCTTAATTTTATCAAATTAATCAATCAGTTCTTATAATTAAAACCGTAAATAGTACTTATTTATTATAAATAATTAAGTATGACCAAGGGATGAGAAAAAAATCATAACTAGAGGATTAGTATATCCTTTAGCATGTGACATCAACTTTAGTTTGAGCAAAGAGATGGATTGATTTGATTGTAATTTGTATTTGTATGAATGTGAAAGTGAGAAAAAGGAGAGAAACGTAAAAGACAATAAATATGATGACAGAAGTCTCGGTTCAATTATTAAAGCAACTTGTCACATATATATAAAGGTCTCATTGTGTGTTACTTTACCTGTTTGCCCTTTCTGTTTATGCTGCCTTTTAACAATAATGACTTTAAAAATATTAACCAGCAACTTCAACCTTCATTTCTCAATATAAAAATTAAATAACTAATTTATAGATATTTAAAAAATTAGATAAACTAGTTATTGGTTTGGTTTTTTCAAACTACTCTCTTTTTAAT